TGGTGGTGGTGGTGGTAGTGTTGTTGTTGTTGCTCTTGTTGTTGTTGTGTGGTAGCCTATCCGTTCGAAATGTTTGGAGCCCCGAAGAGCGTGCTCTTCGCCAGGTCCACCGCCTCTCTTGGGTAGCGGGTGAGGCAGTCCAACCTTCCTGAATCCTCCCCAAAGAGTAGTCGTTGTTGTTTGTTGTTGGTTGTTGTTGTTGTTGTTGTTGTTGCTGTTGTTATTGTTGTTATTGTTGTTGTTGGTAGTTTGTTTTTGTTGTTGTTTTTGTTGTTGTTGTTGTTGTTGGTGGTGGTGGTTGTGTTGTTGTTGTTTATAATAATAAACTGCTGCTGCTGATCGTGGTGGTGGTGATAATGGTGAGATGGTGGTATTGCAATGATCATAATGGTGACAGTTTTTGCTCCCCGCCCCCGCCCAATCCTTTACTTTTTTGGATTTTAAAAAAAAACCATTTTCTGACGCGTATTGTTTTACCTGAGTGACCTGTGTGTGTGTGCTTACTAAAACTAAAAACTGAACGCGCCAGATGTCAGCGGTGCAAACCCCGCCCCTGCTCCGCCCCCTATCTATCATCTCTATCCTTTTTTGTGTTTGTTACTCTCTTGTAACACCTCTAATCTTCGGCACCTATATGACCTTGTTGTGTTGCAAGTGCCGTAAGACTCTTACTAACACTAAATGATCATAATGGTGACAGTTTTTGCCCCTCCCCCCCTTCCGCCTAACCCTTTGACCTTTTTTTAAAAAACCTATTTCTGACGCTTATTGTTTTACCTGCGTGGCCCCTCCCACTTGACAGATGTCAGCAGCGCGAGCCCGGCCCTCTGCCCTGCCCCCAGCGACTCCGTGTGGGTCACCAGCGCCAGCCACCCAGGCCCCTACCCCTCCCCGAGCAAAGTGGACTTTCAAGCTCTCCAAGGCAAGCAGGGGTCACTCATGAGTGACCTCCCGAGTGGGTCGGGCCTTCAAGGCCGCTTAGCCCCGGAGCTCCTGTCTAACCTGTCAGTCCAGAACACGCCCCTCACGGGCCGCCCACCAACAGACCCCACCCCTTTCCCTGCCGGTGGCCACGCCCCCACTGCCGCCATTGACGTGCCGGCTCATGGGAAAGGGGCTGCTACTCTGAGCGCGGAGGAGCTGCACAACTCTGTGTTGTCGGCCCTGGGCGAGTCCACTTCGCCATCGGCCGGGGGTGATCAGGCCTCGCCGGTGCTCAAGTCGCCCTTAGAGAGGAAGCAGTCGAAGAAGCAGCCCAAGGGGACGTTTGAGTACACGGTGAGAGGGGGACTTTATTATGTGTTCTTCTTTCTTTCTCCTCTCTCTCTTTCCATCTCTCTTTCTAAATCTCTCTGTCTGTTTGTCTGTCAGTCTGTCTGTCTCTCTCTCTCCCCCCCCCCTCTCTCTCTCTATCTCACTCACTCACTCACTCTTTCTCCCCTCTCTCCTTCTCTTTCTACCCCATCCCCCTCACATTTTAAAACAATTTTCTCTTTGAAATTTAATTTTCCATCTCTGTAATATTTAAACAATATAAAAAAAAACTAACGAGTTCATTTTGGAATTCCTAGAAGCCTTGCTCTACATGCCCTCCTTTGGACTTGACACATTTTTCGAAATGTTTAATGGCGCCCAAACATAAGGACCTGCTAAACCATGGGTGTTTAAAGCCACATACACAGTACATATTCAGTATGAAGTGGGTTCTAGAGACAATAGGGAGTGGGGTGCCCAATGGACAGCATTTTTGGAGTTAACATATCCCACGGGTGAAAATGGGCGTTGCATTAAACCAAATCGAGGAAATGATCCCGCTTTTAGAGACAATCGAGGAATCATGAACACATAAACATTGCCGTGCTCTGATCTATGTCACCTCGGCCTAGCGAATAGGAAAATAGTACAGTCCTAGGTTAAGATCTGCCTTGAGAATGCAGACTGTTGATGTGTAGGAAAGTCCTAGCTGCAGATTGTCTACGGACAGACGTCTCATGGGACTCGACTGCTGAAATCTGCACACTGGTGACGATTACAGGGCTCTCATGGTGCGTGTTCAATCTGAAGTGGTCATTTTTAAGGGAATTTTTAATTTTTGATTCGCTATAGATTCAAACTGACGGAACTTCTCTACTCATGACATCAACGGTTTTCAGGGCACCTAAACATTTTCTCCATGCCGTGCGCAGAACTTACGAAATGTCAGGGATGGTGAGTTTGTGGAGAGGTAATGTTCAATACAAAAAGCTCTCTGCTCTTTACTAAACGTAACCATGATCTCAGCAGGTAAACAAAATTTGGGAAAAACTATATCGACTGAGTTCTGTTGACTAAGTCTTGTTAGACTGCTGTAGCTTGCAATATGGCGCGATTGTTGCAACTTTAAGTGGTAGGCCTAATGCGAGCTGGTGCGTCATGCTGTGACAATAGCGACAAGGTTAAAAATGTGTTTTCCCCCCACAATATAGAGCAAAACGATTAAGTGGACTTATCTAAAAAAAATGAATGTCAGACAAATTCCTCTTGGCTTCCAAATAATTATTAAGTTCAAATCTGAAACGCAAAACTTCAGTATGGAGGAAAATATTTACAAAGCACGTTGTATAGTTTTTTTGGGTTTTTTGTTTTGTTTTTTGGATCACCCTATTATATATATATAGAGAGAAGACTGTCGGCCCTGGGTACACGTACATGTATAATTATGGTCGCTTTTAAAGACAAGGGGGGCTATCCCGATTAATGCTATTTTGAGAAAATCGAAGTTAAAGTTTTTGGATGCTTTTTCAGTCTCCTCAAAAGACAAGGAGGGTTGTCTCTATAGCCAAACAAATATACTCATCACTAAAAACCAAACTTTTTCTATAGGTAGGGCAATGCCCACTTTTGGTGTAGGTCAAGATTTCTGGAAACCCCCGAAATCTGGGTTAGCCCGCTTGTCCTCAAAAGTGACCAAATGTATATCGCCCACAAAAAGACACTTTTCAAAAACCGATCGCACAGCGAAATGTTGTTCCTTGGCGTTGGGCAGTCCGGACTATAAATAGAGTAACCCCGTGGAATGGCCAGCTTGATGCCCTTCGTCCCAAAGGTGGCGGTATAACGAGGTTTCACTGTATTTTTGGATAAGCAGGATTTGTCTTTTATTACGTTTTTCACAACAGATTTCATAGCTGTGTTTGTGGGTGGTTGGCGAGTGCTCTGGTGTGGTCTGCTTCTTCTTTCCTATCAAACATCTATCGTCCTGATCTCTCCTCCTTCTTTCCTATCAAACATCTATCGTCCTGATCTCTCCTCCTTCTTTCCTATCAAACATCTGTCGTCCTGATCTCTCCTCCTTCTTTCCTATCAAACATCTATCGTCCTGATCTCTCCTCCTCCTTTCCTATCAAACACATATCGTCCTGATCTCTCCTCCTTCTTTCCTATCAAACACATATCGTCCTTATCTCTCCTCCTCCTTTCCTATCAAACACATATCGTCCTGATCTCTCCTCCTTCTTTCCTATCAAACATCTATCGTCCT